CAGGCAGGGATGGAGCTGGGAGGACAGGCAGGGATGGGTGAGAGGGGACAGGCAGGGATGGGGCTGGGGAGGCACAACCAGGCCCATGACGGACTCTGCTGCAGCAGAGTTTCGGTGGGGCCAGGCGGGGGCTCAGGCTGTGCACGGGGTGTGGGGGGAGCAGAGGTGGCTTACCCTGCAGTGCCCCCCTGACCCCCATCTCCTCCCACAGGGGCAGCCACCTGACAGATGTAAGTCCCAGAGGAGCCAGCGAGGAGCCCCAGCCTCCAGAGCCTGGGCCAGCAGCAGGAGCAGGGATGGGATGCAGGGCACGGGAGTGGCAGCATTCAGGCCTGGGGTTGAGCTGGCCCCGTGCCAGTGAGCTTCAGGCCTTTTCAGGGTTGATTAGCATCTCACACCATAAAAAATTAAAAATAAACCAAAAGGGACTGCTGTTGTTTCCAAATTGGAAAATTTCTCTCCAAGGGCTTGCCTGGAGCCCTGGAGAGCAGAACCCTGAGTCCTACCTCATCTGTTTGGGACTTTGGATGAGGTTCTCTTGGTAGGGGGGGGCTGGCGGGGGTGAGAGAGGCCTTTCCTGGCTGTGGAGGCTGCAGAGTTGTTGGAGCAGAAGAACAGCGTGATGCTGTTTGGAGTCTGCGCTTCCACTCCTGGGGAGAGAAGCCGGAGGAGCTGCTGACTCTGCACTCACTGTGGCAGCAAATCTCTCTGGTGTTGTTAAACTCGGGTTAGATTGAAGCAAACCTAAATTCCTGATTGTGCTTTTTGTGATATCAGTTGGGTCTATCATGATTGCATTTGGGTTTATTAATATTTTTTCCCACCTGTGCCAACTTGCTGTTTCTGTCTCTCCCTGCCCAGATCTCGATATGCCGGGATTTGCCCAACATCGAGGTGATCACATTCAGGTGAATTCCAGGCTGCCAGCTTTGGAGAGGGCAGGGAAATCACCTTTTTCCTGGAACTTATTTTCTTCCCACCTTGCTATGGTTGTGTTTCTGACCTGCCTGGCTCTTCATGCTCCATTTTTCATGCAGCAGGGATGTAGAATGGTTATTACTCACTAGCTCCTCTGCACCTTTCCCTTTACTCCTCGAGAAAATAATCCCTGTTTCAGCAAGTTTTAAAACTCCATTGTTAAAAGTCCCATTCCATAGTTTATATGGGGATCATGATGGCCTCTGTATGTGGCCTGTTTGCAGTGTGCTTGTTGAAATGCTTCATGGATCTCTCAGAGCTTTTTCCTTTCCATAATATACCCAACTTTTCACCCATCCTGGGAATATCATGGAGCCACCACTCTCCAGACTGGAGCTTAGGAATCTTATATGGCTTGTCCTTCGGTGGGTCTGAGGAAGTGCCACAGAAAAGGAGGCAGGGTTGGGGGAAGCAGAGGCTCTTTGCCATTCTCAGCAGAGGAGTGCTGGCTGTTTTAATTTTGCCCTCTGTTTACAGAGATAAAATGCCACAAGCCGTGGGCTAAATGCCACCTCACCCTGCTGTGGCAGGGCAAGGCTGTTGCAGGAAAATGGGCTGGGAAGGTGCAGGCAGGGAGGGACGGGCTCTGACAGTGTCTCTGCAGTGTGAACAGCATCTCGGACCTTGAGCCGCTGATGCAGTGCCAGAACTTGAGCGAGCTCTACCTGAGGAAGAACAACATCACGAGCCTCAATGAGCTGTTCTACCTCAAAGGGCTGCCCCAGCTGCGGGTGCTGTGGCTGGCAGAGAACCCGTGCTGTGGGCAGGACCCCCACCGCTACCGCATGACGGTGCTGCGCAACCTGCCCGGCCTGCAGAAGCTGGACAACCAAGGTGGGTGTTGGCAGGGGCATCAACAGCCCTGAGCCAGGGCAGCTGGAGACAGTGGTGTGTTGGTTCCTGTCTTTAAGGCATCCTTTGATTTCTCCTTGAGTCAGGATGTGGCAGGGGTTGAGTGTTCCATCAGGGAGATCCAGTGTTTCTAAGCTGTTTTCCCCCTTCTCCTTTCCCTTTCCCCCCTCCCTCTCCTTCCATTCCCCCTCTCCCTTCTCCATCCCTATGCCCTTCCCCTTTCCTTTCCCTTTTGTCTTCTTCCCCTTCCCCCTCCTTCCTCTCCCTTTCCCCTTTGCCCTTTCCCCTTTCCTCTTTCCCCTTTCCCTTTTCCCTTCTTTTACTTCCCTCTCTCCTTCCTTTCCCTTTCTCTTTCCCATTTCCCCCTTCCTCTTCCCCTTTTCCTTTCCCTTTTCCCTTCTTCCCCTTCCTTCTCTCCTTCTCCCTTTCCCTTTCCCCTTTTCCCTTTTCCCTTTCCTCTTTCCCCTTTCTCTTCTTCCCCTTTCCCCCTCTCCTTCCTCTCCCTTTCCCTTTCCCCTTTTTTGCCTTTCGCCTTTTTTGCCTTTCCCTTTTCCCCCTCTTCCCCTTTCCCCTTTCCCCTTTTTTGCCTTTCCCTTTTCCCCCTTTTCCCCTTTCCCCTTTCCTCTTTCCCCTTTCCCCTTTCCCTTTTCTCCCTTTTTCCTTTTCCTTTCCCTTCCTCTACCTCCCCATCCCTTCCCCACACCAGCAGGACCGGGAGCACCTCATTATAGCTCAGGCAGTACCACTAATTAGTGGGTTTTTAGGGCTCTCTGCTTTGCTGTGGCCAGACAAAGGTTCTGTAACATGATCTGCTGTTGTAGAAAACTTTCTCTGTTGTTTTTTTTTTTTTTTCTATCCGGTAGCAGCAATTTGGTGGCTTTTGGAGCCTTCTCCAGAGACAAGAAGTAGGAAAGCATGTTTGCTTCCCTCCCTGTTACCCTCCTCTGAAGGCTGGGGATGGCTCCCAGTGTTCTACTGCATGAGTTTCACTGTAGGAGGAGGGTGACAGCAAAATGCCAGGCAATTTCTGGACCAAACCCCTTGGGTTACACCTCTCTGGGTTGCTGCAGTTCATAGCAACAGGCTTTTGTTTGGGCTTTTGCAGCAGTGACAGAGGAGGAGCTGTCCCAGGCCCTGGTGGATGGTGTGGAGATCACGGCCCCCCCAGCCCGGAGGAGCATGGAGAATGGCTGGGCCGAGTCCACAGAATCCAGCGCTGCCGGATCCACGGTGGAGCCCGAGAGTGAACTGCTCAGCTCCAGACTGGAGGAGACAAAGTGAGGGCTCACTTGGGAGCTGCTGGGATTCCTGGGCTGAACTCCTGTGTAGTGTGAAAGGACCCTGATATTCCAAGGGCCGGGCCCGCAGCTGATGCGAGTTCCCGTTGTTCCAGTTGCCGTGGTGGAGCTGTGCTGTTGAATGGCACTGGTGGGGCTGGTTCTGTGTCTACTAGACAGGCTCTGCTGTGGTGGGTGACTCGAGTGTGCCAGCTGCATGCGGAGACAGGGATGGATCCTCTCTGATCTGGGAGCTCCATCCATGACCAGAGTCCTCCAGCTGAATACTCCTTGCATGGTTGCCCATAATGGATTGGCCAGCAGAGAAAGATTCTCCCACCCGGTTATAATAACATTTGCTTTTCTACCTTTTTTTTTTCCAGCAAAATTCGAGAGGAGCTTGATATGAAGCCTGTTCCCAGGGATAAATATTCCTCCTTTTCCCCTCGAGAGACAGACTGCAACCGCAAGAAGAGAGTGAGTGTCTTTTAAAGACCAAATTGCTTTTCCTGTGGAGGACATGAAGGCCCTTGGATGTGTCCAGAGGGGAACAGCTGGTGTCAGGGCTGTCTTTGTCTGGTTTGGAGAGGAGGCCGAGGGGTGACCCTCATCCCTCTCTGCAGCTTCCTGAGGAGGGAATGTGGAGAGGGAGGTGCTATGCTCTTCTCCCTGGGGTCCAGAAATAGGACACATGGGAATAGTCCAAAGCTGTGCCAGGGAGGTTCAGACTGGATATTAGGAAGCATTTCTTTAGCAAGAAGGGGGCTCAAACCTTGGGAAGGGACTGCTGAACACAAAGTTTATGTGGTTCCTCAGCCCCCTCTGCGGTGTGGCCTTGGATGAATCCCATGGGTCTTGGTGGTTCCACTGGGAATTGCTGTCTGCTGGGCTCAGTGCCATTGCATCGATCTAGAACACACTCTGCTCCACTCTCATATCGGTTGCTTAGAGCAGCACCACAGGCTCTGACCGTTAAAGAAGGGGGAAATGGCCTCAGGTTGCAGCTGGAGAGGTTCAGGTTGGATGTGAGGGAAAAGATTCTCCCTAGAAGGACAATTATTTAGGCTGCAGAATCTCTCCCTGGAGTTTTTCAAGCTGTGGTTTGACAGAGCCACAGCCTGGTGTTGGCAACGTTCCTGCAGCGGGTGCAGGGCTGGGCTAGGGACCTCTAAGGGTCCCTTCCAGTGATTCCACCAGCTCTCCTCACTCCTCAGAGCACAGGGCTCCTGTCCTTCCCCATCCTACACACCCTGGAGAGGGAGGGCGGCCGCTCCTGAATGTGCCTTTCCCTACAGAATGTGCCTTTCCCTACGGAAGCCAGGCTGGCTGGGAGCCAGAGGCATGTGGGCAGCTCAGCAAGACTGGGTGGATGAGTTTGTCCTGCATTCCAGGCTCCTCATGCCACAGCCTCTGTCTGTGTCTGCCCCCGGGGCTCGGTTGTTCCCTCCTGTGGCTGCAGGTGGCTGCTCCAAACCACTGCCAGTGGTGCTGGTGGTGAGGGAGTTCCTAGAAAGAGCAGGGAAAATCCAGTGTCCTCTTCCTGGCTGGCTTGTATGAAGCAGTGCCTTATCCCCACAGAACAACGTCCTGAATGCCATCCTGCTTCTCATGAAGGAGCTGGACATGGAGGGGCTGGAGACCATCCAGCAGACAGTGGTGAGGAGGCTCCAGGCCTTCCAGAAGAAGGAGCTGCAGGAGGAGTGAGGGTGCCCACGGCCATTCCTCCCTGGAGCCCCAGCCCTGCGGTGCTGTCCTGCCCACACGACCCTGGCTGCAGCCAAAGCCTCAGTGCTCCTGCTGTGCTTCCCGTGTGGAGGGGCTGCGCTGGGATGCTGCTGTGGCTCCTTCTCCAGGGCTTTCCTGCCTGGGTAGCAGGCTCTGTTGATGTTTGTATCCTGTGTCTCTGCGGCTGTTGGATGGGAACTGCAGGCAAATCAGCAAAGCAGAAAGGAGCAGGGCTGCAGCCAGAGGTGATCCAAGAGGTGGCAGCTGGAAAAGTCACTGCTCATGGGTGGCTCCCCCTCAGACCCACCCTCGGCCAGGCCTGGAATGTGTAGCAGCCTCTGGAGGCAGTTTCTACCACAAAGATTTGGTTTTGTGAAGTCTGTCAAGTCATCTGTTGCCTGAGATGATCACCAAGAACTATCTGGTGCAGGTTGTGAAGGTTAATGTCAAATTCCTAATTTCTTTTCCAAGCCCTGACTGGCTTCCTCTGGTCATGGCCAGTGCTTCCTTTAGCACTGCTGTGGGGGTCAGGCAGACCAAAGAAAACCTTGGAGCAGCCTCAGTGAAACACAAATGACTCCCAAATCCTGAATGCTCAGCTGTCCTCTCACCCCCACATTCCCTTCAGGCATTAGAGCAGCTTAAGGAAACATCCAAGTGAAACGGCCCTGGGCGGTGCTGCTGCTTTGCACAGACATTGGGGTGGGTGTTGCTCTCTGATAAAACTGCATTTACCAATGTTTTATAGAGCTGTTAAATACAGGCTAAACAGTTGTGGCATACCAAATAAACCCAATTATCCCTCGAGGCTGTGTAAGTCGTGGCTGGGGGCACTGCTCCATTACCTCTGGTTCATGGGGCACATTGTGAGCCCTGCAGAGCAGGAGGAGGGCTGGGATCCCTCACATTCCCACTCCACTGGACCTCTGAAATGGTGATCCTTCTCCCAGCAGTGCTTCCCAAGGGCATGGGGCTGTTGGGGAACCTTCCTGCAGCCACAGCGAGGGCAGGAAGCAAAGGAGAGGGTGAGGAAAGCTCAGTGCAGAGCCACCCGGGGTGGGACAATGGCCCTGCGAGGGGACACGAGCCAGGCCCTGGCGCTGCACAGGGCCACGTGGCCTTCCCTTGTCCCCACTGTCCCTGTTAGTCCAGTGTCCAGGCCGTGCTGCCAGGAAGTAACGCTCCTCAGGAGTGGTGACAGCCCTGTGTCCAACAAGCCTGTTTTCCTGACCCTGGTGAGAAGTGACATAGTTTGACTCTCATCACTTGGAGGGTATTTGCCAATGACTTTAACTCCTCCAGTGACCTTAGTTGCTTCATTCTTCATTAAATCCAGCTGCAGTTGTGTGATTTGTGATGTCCCAGACTTCCCTCGACAGCCAGGGGCTAGGAGGCTTATCCATCATCCCATGTGCATGCTGTTCTGAGGGCAAGTCCTCTCCCAGGCTCCTGGCCTGTCCATGTCGGGGAGCAAGGGAGCTGCTGGACCCCCCAGCTTTTCTGGGATGACAGTGATCAAAGGAATCATCCTTGTTTGTCATCAAGGCTCATTGGTTGCAGGGCTGGTGGAGCAATCACCACGGCCTTGAGGACACTCTGACACAATTCCTGGGAAGTTGGGCTGTGAATCCCATGGCAGGAGCGCAGCTCTGCCTACGTGCCGTGCTTGTCATCCTTGGCTGGTGTGGGTGCTCCTGCTGCCCTCACTGCTCCCAACTGCTCCTCACAGTGTCCCTGCAAGCCCCGGGGGGAGGCTCTTGCCCTTCCCTGCCTCCCTGGCAGCCTGCCCTCCGCTGCGGGAGGCTCCTGGATTTCTGCTCTGCCCTCAATTCAGGGTGGGCTGGATGTGCTGGAAAGCCTGGGAGCACAGCCATGTCCCCTCCTGCTCAGCCTGGGCTTGCACATCTCCCCCCTGGAATCTGGCCCTCCAGGGTTTGTTTTTGGGGTGGAAATGAGGTGCTAGGGCTGCAGTGACAACATCTCCCAACATGCAGCTGGTTTGACACCCCTGTCCCCATTCCCACCCTAAACCTGACTGCTGCAGGGCTGTGCTGCCGACAGATTTTCCATGTGACCTGCTCTCACCCTGCCCTGCCTCAGCAGGGAATATCAAGTGATAAATGCACGACTGCCAGTTGTGGAAAATGCCAGTGGCTGTGTGGATCCAGCACCACTTCCCTTCAAACCATCCTCAGGGACTCTGGGAGGCCGATAGTGAGGCAGGTGTGGAATCTGTGGCTCACAGGGGTTCCCGCTTGGGAGTGAGTTGGGGCTCCTCCAAACTGAATTGGCCCACCCAGGAAACAGAGCTCCAGAAGCATCCAGGTCCCTGCCTGGGGTACCCAGAGCAGATACTTGGCCAGGAATAGCAGCAATGCTGCCTCCATCAGCAAGGTCTGATATTTCTCCACGGCTCCAGCTCTGGCAGGGGAGAGACAATTGTTATCCTCTTCCTCCAGAGCCTAAAATGTGGCCAGTTAGGGGAAAGCACCAAAATTATGGGATCATACACTCATGGAATGGTTTGAGTGGGAAGGGACCTTGAGAATCATCTCACTCCACCCCCTGCCATGGGCAGGGACAGCTTTCACTGTACCTGGTTGCTCCAAACCCTGTCCAACCTGACCATGAACTATTCCAGGGATGGGGCAGCCACAGCTTCTCTGGGCAACCTGTGCCAGGGCCTCCCCACCCTCACAGCCAAGGATTCCTTCCCGATATCCCATCTATCCCTGCCCTCTGGCAGTGGGACACCATTCTTCCTTGTCCCCTCACTCCAGGTCCTTGGAAATAGAGTCTCTCCATCTTTCTTGTAGCTCCTTCAGGCCCTGCAAGGCTACAATCAGGTCACCCCAAAACTTCTCCCAGCTGATCAACCCCAACTCTCCAGCCTTTCCTCCCAGCAGAGCTGCTCCATCCCTCTGATCTTCTTGGGACCTCCTCTGGACTCTCTCCAGCAGCTCCATGTCCTTGCTGTGCCGTTCCCCAGGGCTGGAGGCAGCTCTGCAGGGGGGTCTCCCCTGAGGGGGCAGAGGGGCACAATCCCCCCCTGCCCTGCTGCCCACGCTGGGGGATCAGCCCAGGGCACGGGGGGTTC